TATTTAATTCAGGCTGACCTTAAACTTACTGTATAGCCCAGGCTGGTCTTCAACTCATGTTGATCCTCCTGCCTCAGCCTCCCAAGTGCTGGGACCGCATGTGCCACCATGCCCAGCTCATGTCTGTAATTAAAACTAGAACATTTTTCAATTTTCTTAGCTTTTCTTAGTAAAATATTACATGCAAATGATGTATAATTTTCTTGTAAGAATCCATGGAATTGAGCTGGGTAAAGTGGTGCATACCCTTAATCCCAGCACTTGGGAGGCTGAGGCAGGAGGATCAACATGAGTTCAAGGCCAGCCTGGGCTACATAGCAAGACCCTGTCTTAAAAAACAAAGACAAAAAGAATCCATGGGGCTGCATTTTATTTGTCCTCAATTAAAAAAAACCCACATTAGTAATAAATGTACACTGTAAAAAAAGATTATAAAAAAGGTTCTAAAATGTAGCCTTACCAACCATAGATAACCTTGGCAAAACTTAGTTTATTTAATTGCAGCCTTTATATTACTCTTGTTGTAAATACATCAATATCATATGTCTATTTTCTTAAACTGTATCTCTATAGCTATCGATGCATTCATCTTTATCTAGAAAATAGAAGTACACTCTACATGTTATTTTAAGTTGGTTTCACAATTCAAACTGTATAAATGAGTATCTAAAATGATAAAAAAAAAATAAAAAAGGAGTTGGTCTGATCGCTGCCGAGAGTTTTAGTTCTCCTCCAAACACCTGGAAAGGACTCCTTGGGCTGGGGTGAAGAGCAGGGCGCAGTAAACGGGAGCCTAGCTGGCCTCCCAGTCACTCCTGGCCTCTCCCAGGGCCCAAGGGGACGCTTCTTTCTGCTTGTTCTTGTGCCTGTGCACGGGACATCAGGAAGGAGCATAGGAGTCTGGGACGCAAGCTCCTGTCCACCACCTTCATTCCTGCCTCTCCCAGCAGCACCACTTCCTGGAATCGCCACTCCACTTTTCAAATACTTTGTTACTTTCTCTTTTGATTTACTATTTCTGTCTTCTTTTTCCTGTCTCCATTTCTTTCTCTTTTCTCTCACCTTCTGGCATTTTCTTTGCTCTGTTTATTTTTAATTTTATTTTTATATTTTATA